ACATACACACAACCACATGTAGGCCTACACGTTACACACATAGGGTCACAGGCACACAGACAGACATACACACAAACACAAAAACATTTGCGCACAAACACACGCACACACACACACACACACACACACACACACACACACACACACACACACACACACACACACAAATTTATTATGAGCGTACACCGTCCCAAATCCACGTACATCTACTGCAACTGTCACGTGCGCTTCCCGAAGAACGGATAAACGACGTGCTCTGTGCGACGCGAAGAGGAATTCGCCAAAGTTGCTCAGTGGAGTGTGGTAAAATATTGAGCCACTCGGAGCAGGCTGGAAAGTGACGTCACGGTCGGGCAGCCAATGAACGTCCAATGAGCTGGGAATGCTTCCGCAAGGGAAGATGTCCAAAGCAGTCGACGGAATCCATAGCGGAGGGTGTGGATGGGCGGCTCTTGGAATACACTTAGATCTAGTTTTTGTTTCAATTTAGTGTAAAATTGCTTTTTTTTCTCTTCCTGGATTTAAAAAAGAAGGCATACTATTGGTAAGTAATGTTCGTTCAGAAGTATTTTTCTTTCTTTTCAAAAGTGAATAAAACGTTTGAAGAACATAGATCTACTTAATGTTCACAATGTCCGCATAAGTATCGTTACACAATTTTCATACGTCTATTATTGTGTCTTTCAACACCATAATTTTGGAATCTTTAGTATTTTTAAAAAAGTATCAGCCTAACACGAGTAATATAGGTAACGTATAAAAACGTTCTCCTTTCCGATTTCTTTTCGTCTGGCTTTTCAGTGGTGCAGATGAGAACCAGAGAAATATCTCTTGATAATGCCGTGACTCCATTTTCTGCGCACTTTGCCCCGCCATGGAAGGCAGACATTCCCGACCTGCTCAGAAATGAAATTTTGTTTTATGTGTAAATTTCTGACATAATTGCCGGAAGGTGTACAATAAATGATAGGTTACAAGTTCAAGGGAGTGTCGTACGTTCTCGATTCAATTTCAACCCAATTTGATGAAAAATGTAATGGTTTCTTTCTTCATAATTCGAGCTCACTAAGAGATGAGGGTGTGTTAACCTGAACACGGTACGATCGATACACGATCACCATTGCATGATTGAACTATTTTGCACAAAGGCTTAGTGATTAGAAGTCGAGGGCAACGGTGATTTGATCCTTGGCACAGGTTTATTTCTGAGGGTAGCTCTAAGTTTCGATTCGGAGTGGAGTGTGTCACTTTTGGTTGTATTTTTTTTCTTGGGTTTCGGACACTGTTTGATCATGATATTTTATTTTGTTTTGTTTTTCGTTTCTGTTTACAGATTGTTGAATATTTTCGCTTTGTCATATTATATCTTCATGAAACTGTCGTTCTCATACTTACTCTTAACTATCAATAGGAAAAATAAGAGATTTTTAAAAAGTAAACAAAAACAAACCCAAACCCATACACACACACACACACACACACATACACACCC